CGCTTGAAAGCTTTTCATGGGATGCGGCTGGTAATTGCAGGGTTCTTCTCAATGTGGTTGTTATTTCAACTAAAAAGAAGTTTAGAAGAGGAATAATTTTGATTTCTTTTTCTTTACAAATTATAGATAGACTGGTCATTTTGTACAAAGCTTGGTAATCAAGGCGGGGATCCACAAGTCATGGCTCCTCTGTGCCTTTCAGAGACATGGGCAGCAATGGAGGGCTTACATGCATCTTAATTGAGGGCTCATATGATATTTTGTTTTTTAATTAAAAACCCTATGAATACAAAAAATCAAAATACAAATAAGAAATATTTTTTTATGGTGAAATATGACTGCAAAATAATATAAACTTTAAATATAAATGATATTAACCCTTATAACTAAATATATTAAAGAGTGCTTAGAGCATAAAAATAACACAAATGATATTAATAGCCGCCTAAGAGAATGATTGAAAAACTGCAGGTAGTACAGGTTAAGAAGTTGGTTATATAAATTCTCTTTCTGGCCCATGTTCTACTATAGCTTTTAAACATTTTGGGCCTGGTATGCTGCCAGCCCACAACCTGAAAAACACTGCCCAGCCTTCATTTCTTTTTTCCCGCAATCTGCCCAGCCTTCTTCTGTGTCAAAACCGTGCATTCCAACTGGAATTCTGTCTCGAAACTGATTGAACTGGGTTGAGTTTGTATTTTGTACGTTGGTGGGATTTAAGAATGATGAATGCAGTAAGAAAAATGAGGCCGAGAGTCAGAAATTGAAGAAAAGGGAGAAAGAAAAAGAAAATTAAGAAGGATTGGGAAGAGAGGAATAAAAAGATGGCAGAAAAAAAAAATTCTTAATATGTGATTTTTCTTGATAAAATATTTGCAGCATTTAATTATTAAATAAGTGTTTCATTCGAACGGCCTGCTTCAACGTAGTGGTATTGAACTTTGGGTTAGGGTTGTTCATCTTCAGTGGGTTACACGTTCAAGTCCTACCGAATCCCTTTTCTCCTTCTCCTAATTAATCCTGTAAATAATTATAAATTGTTAAAAAAAAATAAATAAAAAATAAGTGTTTTATCCACAGGATGTGGTAACCCCATATACTGGCTTCAATTAATGTCAGCCCAGACCATGCTAATCTCTTCCACCTCTTCATATGTTTTCGTGAGTCAACATTAAAAAATAAACTATATTCATTTTTTTTTTATGGATTTGTCAAACTGTATTCTAAAGGTACAAATTAAACTTTATTAATTATAAAATTTTTAATTAATTTTGTATAAATTTTGATATCAAATTTATATATCTTTTTACAGATTTTGAGTATAAATATTAAGAAAATAATTTTTATATAATTTTTTTGTTTCACTTTTATGTGTAACCTGACGTGTTATTAAAATGATTGATTCTTTTAATTCATGTGAGATCCATGATATTGAATGCATTTACTTATTTAATGACATATGAAGATTATATAAAAATGTAAGACAAAAAAATTGTTCTTGTAACACAATCCTAGATATTATATTTTATTTTAGTTTTACTTTTTATACTCCTTTTTTTTTAACATATTTTGTAAGGGACAGGTTTTGAACCCTGCGCAAGAAAGAATACACCAATAGCTAATGTCATTAGGTTTCAAAGGTCAAGTGCTTTTATATTTTTTTTTAATTGAATCTATTATAAAAATTTATACAAAATTAATTAAAAATATTACATTTAATGAAGTTTAACTTGAACACTAAAGGCACAAGATAAAAAATTCCTTTTTTTTTTTGTGTTTTCTAAGTCATACCGTGGGAATTACTATGGGTAACAATCATTCCTGTTATATATATACATACACCGTGGGAGTTAACTGCTGGAATTCGTGGTTCTTCTGCTAACTAGCATATCCATGGCCCATGGAAACAATCAGTTATTGCATTAAGGAGGTCGCTGCATTCACTTCCAGCACTGACATCGAGGACAGCTCTCTTCTATAACTCATTCATTCGTTCATTATCTTGTATGATAGTCTTGACTATAGTTATGGTGATCTCGGCATTTTTGACCCAAAACTAAAGGGGTTATGGGATTAGGGCATGATCTGTCAGTGGTCCAAGTATATAGTTGGTTTGACCCAAAACTAAAGGAGTTGTGGGATTAGGGCATGATCTGTCAGTGGTCCAAGTAGATAGTTGGTTTATGGCAGAAATCCCTTATGACTGTTGGCATTTGCCGGTCTGATCTGAATTGTGACCAAGTAAATAAGGGAAGGTTTAAAGGTAGGAAAATAAAGGCTGTTTATCACCCGTGACCATGTTTAATTTCTCTCTTTCCCACGTCTGGACCAGTGTACGGTTTTAAATGTTGTTTTGGGTTTATCATTAGGAACTTCTACCAGCCCATGCCCATGATTTGCAGGAGATGTATGGTTCTAAATTTTTTTTGAAACAACCTTTAAATTCACTTGTCAAATAGAAAGTTAAAGAACCATTTAAGATTATTTAGATTAATTATTTATATATAATTAATAGTTAACATTTAATATTTGATAAATTATTATTATTATTATTATTATTTATAATTTAAAATATATAATTTATTAAATTAAAATAAAAAAATTAATAATTATTTACAATATATCAAAACAAACACATGACATTGAATGCTATCAAGGACTAGAATTCGGATTTTTTTTTTCCTTTTATAGTTAGACAAGTATTAGCTCATCAATGAAAATGGTTGTTGAGGAGAGTAAAACTAATAAATGAAACTAGTCTATGGGGTTGAAATTTAATTATGTGTCGTATTGTCCTTGTCAAGTTTGTCATCACTTGACCAATGAAAGTAGTTGGAGCAAGCAAGCGAAAGGGCGGAAGAACCAGCATATCAGCCATGAAGAAGCACAAGTTGGCATTAATGTCAATACGGAAGACGCCCAGGACTGCAGGGGATGAAGTACTTGAATCCAAAACCAAGAAAAAACCCTTTCTGAGGAGAGGAAAATGGTGGCGGATTTGCAGGCTGTGGACCGTAATTGTGAAGGAACACTGGAGGAAGTTAAAAGAAATATTGAAATGAAGTATGAAGATCTAAAAGCATGTTAGAAAATAAGGTTTTGGGGCCAGATGAATGGCTGGATAGTGAAATAGAGAGGCTAAGAGGCATGTTGCAGAGAAAAGAAGATATGGATTCAAGTAGGGATGGTGTCTATAACTCAAAGGGAGAAAATGAAACCGGAGATATAATCAAGGAGAAGAGAAACAATCAAGGAGACAGACACAAATGGGGTCATGGTCCAAGACAAAACAACCACAGGAGGTAGTGACAGTAATAGTGTCAATTTGAGCTCAAATGCAGAAAGCAATACTACCCATACTACAGAAGAATTGCATATTTGTTCTTCTTCGACTGTGAATTATGGGTTTGATGAGGAATGGCTTGATTGGGAATTTTCAGGTTTTGGTGATCAGCTTCAAATGCTCTGATGATCAATGAGAGTTATGGGCTGACAGGGACTTGAACAGAATGTTGTGTTGGTTATGGGATGGGGGCAATAATGGTGAAGGAGAGGGTTTCAATGAATTAGTAACCAAATTCCTGGGCAGGCAATTAAAATCCATATTAATGTATTTTTTACCAGCATTTCAAAGTCTCCCTTTCTTTCTTCACTTGTTTACTGTTCTAACCTCAGTAAACATATGGTACTTAGAATATATTTCATCAAGAGAATGATCATGTGAGGTTCAATGTTAATAAATCAATTGAACCCTAAACATTTGACTGCATGAAATCCTATTATAGAGAATGAGAGCAACTTCTCATTTATAACTAGACCACATTGAGTAAACAATAGAGTTGGCCCTTAAAATAGACTTCTAAGAACTCTCAAAATACTGGGAAAAAATTATGGAGGTACATGTGAAGCGGGTAACAAATGATCATGCTATATAAAGCATTAAGATTGCAAGATATCAGCCACCACTTCATCAACCAAAGTATTGAATATCTGACTTTCAACCTCTGATCCAAGTAGAAATGCATCTACTTCAAAGTCCAGCCATTTTCCATATTGACTGCTCATGTCCTTGTCGACAAGCTCATCCACCATGCAGTCACCCATTCCTCTCCACCTTGAGATCTCCTTGTACACTTCTCCAGCTAACCACTCTTTTCTTCTCAGCATTGCCATTCCTTTTACCCACATTCTGAATCCCCCACCTACATATCGCCTACATCTCAAGTCCAAGCATTCACTGACACAATCAAATAATACCTTCCTTTGCAGCCTAGACTCCTGACTGTTACTTTCAAGTCCTACTCTTCGTGTTTCCAACTGATAAAAAAGATGGGGGTTTATGATCTCTCGAGCTCGACCTAATGCAAAGTCTTTAAACATCAACTCAACATTGCATAGTATCAGCTTCACATAGTCCAGTTCCCACTTGAATGATTTCATGGAATCTGTCTTAACAACAGTGTTTTGATTAATTTTAGCAGCAGGTGCAATAGATGCAGAAGATGCTGAATCTGATAACTCTTTATCAGCTTCTAGTGTGTGCAACTTCTTTGAAGAACGCAACCCATGAACTTCATGAGCTTGAACAGATAAGCATTGCTTGCTTCCTGATAGTACAAAATAGACAGATGAGTATACCTCCATACACAAAGATGACCACTTGTGTTCAAAAAGTACGGGGTAGTTACCTTCCATAATGCTACTATTGGTGCTATCTGAAGAGTTGCAACTTTCAGTTGAGAAGGAAGGTTCAAGGACAGAAACAGGACTAGGTTGCCGGGCATCAAAACGACTACTGCTGCACTCGTCCATTTCATCAACTCCCTGTATATATTCTTTTAGCATTAGTTCTTATTTTATGGCACAGTTTGAAGCAGGCCTCAATGCCCTTCAATGTAATGGTTACACCAATACACAGAACACCAAAAATGCCAATTATAGACAAAAGGGAGGATAATTTAAGCAGGATTTCTTGAAAAGAATGGTTAAGTCATTTACCTGAAACTTGAGCTTCAATTTGAGCTCTTGAAGATCAGTGGAGGAAAAGCTTGAACTATAGCAACCGTTCAGTTTATCACATAACCTGGGTGCAGAGCTAACAGCAGGACTTTCGACCAGATTGTGTATAATTGATGTAGAAGTAGACAGAGATCCTCCTTGGAGAGATTCATGGGAGGATGACTCAACTGCGCAACTCAATTCCCTTAACGTTTGTTCCAAAAGCATACTCAGAGCATTTCCTCCTATCACATTGTATCCCACTGAAGATGACTTCATACCGTCAGTGTCAAGCAGCAATCTCTTACCTTGATTGTCCACGCAAGTGTTCTTACTTTGTTGTACCATTTGAGCAGGTGTTTCCATTGACCGGGCCAGTGGAGCTGTGAAAGTGAAGGAGACAACATCCATGCCTTTCTTTTTGCTATCTTCAACCCAGTTAAAATGTCTATCAGCAGCAGCATTACATTTTACAGCCTTCTGATTTCTGTCAATTGACATGCTATCCATAGCCTCGTTTTTCTCAAAATGAAAATCCCCATCAATTGATCGTTTCTTCCTTGGGAGATTCTTCATACCAGAATAGGGACCTCCTCTTTCACCATATGTTACGTCTAAGCCCAGCTTCCTAGACCCAGTTTTGGAACTCTGAACAGTTTTCCTTGAGGCCTTCTGTCGCCCAAAAGAAGGATCCCCAGGTAACTCCTTTCTACCCAGCAGGTTGGAAACCACGGGCTTTGAAGATAATTTATCTCTATCCATAAGGCAATTTTGCTTCTCATTATTCTGCCTGAGTGCACCAGATGTATTAGGAGTAGAAGATTTCTTCTGCAAATTCCTTTGAATATTTGACTGGCTCTTGAAGGGCTGGCTAGACTTGATCTCATTCTGATCTCTCTGGCTCGACAAAGTCCGACTTCTGGTAGAAGACAATCCTTCTCTTTTCTGAACATTGACCTTTGCCTGGATTGCAAGTGAAATGGACTTTCCCTTGTTGTTTACACCAGAAGAACTTGCTTCTGCATTGGAAGTTCTAAGTGATGTTATATCAGTTGATCCATCCCAGCTCTTATTTAAAGATTGTCCTTTAAGAGACTTGACAGCATTTGACTCAATTGGCCTTCGAGTAGTTTCAGCAAGCCTGGATTTTTTATCAGTGGCTTCCACTTTCTGTTTCAAATCTCTAACTTTCAGAGGAACAGAAGAAGATCCAACCAGAGGCATTCTCTGTGCAGCCTCCATTTTTTCTTTGAGATCACGAACTTTTAGTGGTACTGAAGATGACCCAACCAGAGGCATTCTCGCCCTGGTAGCAACTTGGGGGCTGGGCTCAATAATTTTTGCAGCTGCTTCCATTATGTGGGCAGCATTCTTGGTTGGAATAAAGCAGGGACTCTTGATAGGAGACAACAGTTTATGGTGGGTGATTGGAATTGATTTAGCTGATTTTGGAGGCAAACTTTCAGTTTGGAACTTCTCAATAGGTCTGCTTATCTGAGGCTTAGACCCAACAAATTTCTTGACAGGGTCCTCTACCTTACTGAAAACGTTTCCAGAGCACGTTACTTGCTGTTCGTGCTGACTATGGAGGCTTTTATTGCAGTGCTGAGCACTTCGAAGCGATTGTGTATCAAAAAGTGGGGTAGAATAGGGCTCAGAAGAAGATGTTGGCAAGGAATCTAATCCCATAAGCCTGGCTACCACCCCAGGGGCCCTAGATCCATATATATCATCATCTGTAACTGATGAAGCACAACTATAATCGCTACTTCCTTTGATGCTGGACCTTTCGGCAATTTCATCATCATCTAACTGCAATAATTACAAGTAAATGTACAAATGTCTAAGATTCAATCACCAATAAAATAGTGTAGTAAGATTGAAGACTTAGGAATTGCCATGGTCTTACCAGGTGAAATCGTGTCATTGTCACGTTGCCATCATTTTTCTTTCCCTGCTTCAAACGCTCTGAAATAATAGAATATCACACATAAACTAGCAGAAAAAGATAGAATTTAGTTTTGCAGACAAGAATTTGATTTGAGCATATATGGACATGACATGTGTCATGAAAAACTTCTCATTATACAAACTACTGATCTGAACACAACCAGCTATACCTGGAAAATCTGACTTGCTTGTGAATAACTTCTTCTGAGATTTTGCAGTCCAATCAAACAGCTGAAAAAAACCACCTACATAGCCTCCTCCACCCTTTGAACCTTCTCTCTCAACCCCCATTTTGTGAGCAGAACTCAAAGCTTCTTAACATTTGTAAGCAAAACAACCCATTCCCCCAACAGAAACTGCATCTGCAAAGTTATTGAAATATCTTTGACAGTCAAACTATAAATCCCATTTACCAGGAATAAAACAAAACCCACAAGAGAAACCACCGAGAGATCAATTCTATGCAAACCCAGCAAAACATCGCAGAGATCAATAAAATTATAAAAAGTTAGAAACTTCATCCATTAACCATGTTCCAAACAAAACCCAAATCCAGTTTTGTTAAACCCTTTAATCCAAAAAAGCAAAGACCCAAAATCCCCAAAGAAATCTAGCAAAAAAACAAAAAACTTGTATGAAAGCAATGCCTGCTGGATATTTCCTCGTCTCTCTTCCAATGCAGCTGAAATTTTTCTGGGTAAGGATCAAACAACAAGTAAACTTACTAAGATTTCAAGAGAAAATCGAGGGTGCGGCAGTCAAAGAACCATAGAAAGAAGAAAACAGAGGCTCCTGCGTTCAGTAGGGTCCCTCTCTGCGTTGTGTTGTTCAAAGCAATAAATGGAGAAGAGGAGTGAATTGAAGAGATGAAATAGAAATGGGGTTTAAAAATTAAAAATAAAAAAATTTTGAAAAAAATCTAAAAATAGGTTATTTATTCTTTTTTATAAAAAAAAATATCTCTTTATATCGCATAATCTTTTTATTTAATGGTAATTACTTTTTAATTTGACAACTAATTACAAAATTTTTTTTTATTAATTTTTGATATCTAAAAACTACATTAAATTTTAATTAATATAAAATTAAGTTGTATTAAATTTTATTAAAAAAATTCTTTTAAAAATACTTATTTTTTATTAAACAAATTTAAATTTAAAATTTTATTTAAAAAATTAAATCATTTTTATTTAAACCAATAAATTTCATTGATTAAATAATTTTTAGTTGGACATATAAGTTAAACAATAAAACAAATAATTCTTATTTTATTATCAAAGATTTAAAAGGTGTATAAAAAGGCTACAATAGTATAACGTCTCTTTGGGGAGGGACGAGATTTCAAATTCCAAACATCAGTGGAGTGGAAGATAACTTCACATCAGGGTGTTGAATGGGTTCTGAACTACCCAATGTGTCTGCGTCCACGTGTCTCGTAGATGCTTCTTGGATTCTTTAAGGTGGTACCGTCGTAAATGTGCATCGGAAATTGCCTTATAGGCCCAAATATAGTCCTCTTAGGCCCCTGGCCCAAATGTAATAGTGTAAGTAAACTGGAAACCCAAATGTAATGCTATGTTACTGCTTTTAAAACCAGACAATAAAATACCAGTCCTGATGAAGAGATCCGTACTTATTATTAGGGCTCTTGTCATCAAATAATTAATGTTGTATAATTTAATATAATTTATATAATAATTTTTTTATCCATATGTTATGTTGTAGTGACATTGATCTTGAGTTAGTGGAATCATCTCGGTGAATTACAGTTTCGAACTCTACAGATTCATTTTCTCATCTCTCCTCATCTTTTCCCTTTATTGTAATATGTTAAAATAATAATAATAATTCCTCACATTTGCATCTAATGGTTGGCCACTAACTTTTTTAAGTATATCATCCGACTTGAATGTTCGAATCCTCAAATTCCCCTTTCCCATTCCCGTTAAGAACAATTGTAATATTGTTCAAAAATAATAATAATAAATAAATTTTTATTTTTTACCTTTTAAATAGGGTCGAATAACTAGTAAAATGCTAAATGCCTTCCTTCTTTTTTTTTTTTTCCCCTTAATTGATATGTGAAATTTGTTCACTGTCTAGACTAACAACAAATGGTGTAAGCTTGAAATGAAGTGCTGCCTCCCTGCAAAACTAGTGTCCATGCATGTATAGATTCAAGAAATAAGAGAAAGAAAATGCAAATGTAATCAGTCAAATCTTGTGAACCATGTTTATGATCATGGCTAAATAATTCATATTTTGAGCTAAAGAAATTAGTGGTCTTGAAGTCTTGAGTTCGACTTAATTAATTCTGGTTTGATCCCCATCTTCCAATTACTCACATTCAGGACTAAAATCAACACATTCCTCTCCATTTTATTCATTAACCAAAATAAAATCAAGAAGAAAATCGAAAACAATATATTGGATGACACAAATTGACTCCGAAATCTTCCAAGAAAATGGATGAAGCTTTCGGAAATGAAAAGGCAATTTCTTCTTGACCACCATTGTTAGTACCCATATACAATCTGGGAATACTTGTTCTTAACCCATCGAAATCCATTCCTCAACGATGTCTTCATTTGGCTCTCGGCAGTGTACGAATTGTACATCACCACGCGCCGCTTCCTACTCAGCTCCGACTCCCCACCCCAGGAATGCGAAGGTTTGTGAGCAGTATATTTACTATATTTGGAATAATCAATAGCCCTGTAAACAACATCACTTTTTGTCTTCCACGGCTGCGGTGCCGGCAGAAACGGTGGAGCCAATCTAGAACGTGGAGGAGTCGGAGTTGTCGAATGACCGTTGTTCGATATTGGTTGCCATGCATTAGGTGAGGCTGAGAGAGAGTTAGAATCCGTCTTCTCGATCTTCCACTCGCCGCCGCGGGTCCAGTTAGCCTCCTTGAACTCCTCTATCTCTCTCTTAGCTTGTGCCATGTGGATCCCTGTCGGCAGAAAAAGGGTCCAATTAGCCTCCTTAAACTCCTCCATCTCTGTGTTGGCTTCTGCCGTATGGATCCTCGGCAGCAGAAAAAGAGAGAGAAGGATTCTGTTCTGTTTTCTTTCTCTTTATTTTTATTTATTTATTTTTTTTCTAAATAAGAGGAAACGGTTTTTTTGAGAAAGAAGAGAGGATTAAGGTAAAATGAAAATTGATCTGGTTTATGTTTGTTTTTGGTATAGCCAGATGTTGGAGGGTCGGTGGATTGGAGAAATGAGAGGCATTTAGCTGTTTTCTCCTTTTTATTTCTAAATTGAGACTTTGAAATAGAAAATGGATAATGAGGGAAGTTAAGTGGAGGAGCTTGAATCTCTCCCCAAGTTTTTGGGCTTTCTATAGGTTGTTTGACGTTGACTTGCGTTATCATGGTATTTTTTACCTCAACCTTTTTGTTGATGCAAAAAACCTTCAAGTCCTTCTTTACTCAGATTTTCTTGTTGAATAATCCTACAAACCCCCGAGGGTGGCTTTTGAAGTAGACATTTCGATACTTCAATTAATAATAATCTACACTTTGGGTTCTTTCAAAAGAACGAAGCATAATAAAGAGAGAAATGCTAGAGGAAAAAAGTCCTATACCTTTGAATGGTATAGGGTATTTATAAATTTTTTGAAAGTGTTTGACACATGTTACACTTTTATCGATCTTTTTGGATCTATTTAAGTTTATATGAACTTTATAATAACTCATATATGCTCTTTTATATTTTAATTTTATAGGCCTTCATTACGTTTTTGAGCTAATTAGATTACCATCTTTACACTTTTTTAACCTGATAACGTTTGTATGAGATATACACATGTAGTTGAAATAATTTTTTTATTAAATGAAAATATTTAATAAAAATTACATATAAAAAAATTAAATATAAGTTAAAAAAAATCCTAAAACTGGGCAATGGCAAAACCAAGGGATCTGGGAGTGGTAAAAGCCCTTTTAAACTTTTGAGATGTTGATAAATTTTTTTTTTTTTTTTGAACATATATGCAAGGGGCGGGTTTCGAACTCAGCCCAAGGAGAGGGGAATGCACCGGGGTGGCTATTACCATTAGGCCGCAAGGGCCAGGTGAGATGTTGATAAATTAGTAATTCACTTTTTAGTTAAATTTATTTTGATAATTAAAGTCAATTATGTTTTAAATTTCAATTAAATATAGAGAAGGATTAAATATGATTAAATGACTCCATATTTATTTACGCATATCTCATAAGATTTTAATTATTTATTTTTTTATTATGAATAATCAAGTTTTATAAAAATA